TTCTGGAAAGTGCGTCGGCATTCCGATGGATTGCCCCAGCTCGATGTTCTGTGTCGAAGTCAAATTCTTGTAATCGTTCAATCCATCTAGCTATCTGCCCTTCAGGATTCTTAAACTGCAACAGCCATTTCAAAGCAGCATGGTCTGTTCTTAACAAGAACTTTCTTCCAAAGAGATACTTGTAGAAGTGTTCCACTGCTTTAACTACTGCTAGTAATTCTCGTCTGGTTACACAGTAGTTCCTATCCGGTTTTGACAAGGTTTTACTAAAATAACCAATGACTTTTTCTTGACCATCCTGGATCTGAGACAGAACAGCGCCTAACGCAACATTGCTAGCGTCGGTATCCAATATAAAGATTCCGTTGCCAAGAGGGTAGCTAAGTATGGGCGCACTAGTCAGGGCCTTCTTCAATTTTCGGAATGCCTCGTCAGAATCTGAGTCCCAAGAGAAACGCCTCTCGCCTTCGGTAAGTCTGGTTATTGGTTTAGCGATGGTGGCGAAACCCTGTACATAACGGCGATAGTATGTGCATAGCCCCAAAAAGCTTCTGAGTTCATGTTTGTCTTTAGGTATTGGCCACTCTTCCACTGTCTTGGTCTTCTGTAGATCTACCGCAACTCCTTGGAAGGAGACTACATGGCCCAAGTAGTGTACCTTTTCTTGACACAGATGACATTTCTTGGAGCTAAGTTTCAAACCAGAGCTCCCTAGTCGCTTGAAAACTTCTTCCAAATTCTTCAGATGATCGTCAAAGGATTTCCCAACCACTATGATGTCATCCAGGTACACTAAACAGGTAGTCCAGGATAGTCCCTTTAACACAGACTCCATTAGTCTCTCAAAGGTAGCTGGCGCGTTGCACAATCCAAAAGGCATGACGGTAAATTGCCACAGTCCGGAGCCCACCGAGAACGCTGTCTTCTCTCTATCTTTCGGCGCCATGTCGACTTGCCAATATCCACTTTTCAGATCTAACGTAGAGAATATCGTTAACCCCGCCAGCGTGTCTAGAGTATCGTCTATCCTCGGCAGGGGATAACTATCCTTCTTGGTAACATTATTGAGCTGCCGATAATCAACACAGAATCTGGTGGTACCGTCTTTCTTCTTTACTAGTACTACCGGCGATGTCCACGGGCTGTTAGATGGTTCGATGACATCTTCTTCTTTCATTTCTCGAAGGATTTTATCAGCTTCTTCACGTTTGGCGAGCGGAAGTCTTCTCGGATTTTGTTTGATTGGTCGCGCATCTCCTGTATCAATTTTATGTTGTACTAAATTGGTACGACCTCTCTGTCCTGCTTCTCCTTTATCAAACACATCTTGATACTTGATTATCAGGTTTCTCAATTTTCTACTATTTTCGGGAGATAATCCCTTAACGTTTACTAACTCCTTCACCATTTTGTCCGGAATTTTTGAAGTCGAAACTTTGGAGGCTTCCACGCTTCGAACGACTGAGGAGACCGAACAACAGTACCCTAAGAGGGTTCCCTTCTTCAAGGATACAGAATAATAATTCGTGTTCATTACTCTCACCGGTACAGTTTTCTTCGCTCGTAGCAGGGCTTTTCCAACAGCGATCCCTCGTCCTATTTCGCTGTCATGGTTCCTTGGCTCCAACAGAATAATACTCCCATTATTCATTTTACCTTCTAGGCAACCATCCAAAAATATCTCACAGCGCTCAGGGATCGAAACATCTTCTGCTACCACCACGCGAAGCGTCTCCTCACATTTTCGTGCAGAACCACTTCTTCTTCATTTATTTTCAAAATTCCTTGTTTGAGGTTTAGCTCAAAACCTCTAGTGGTCATGATGTCCATTCCGAGAATAAGTTCATCTTCGATGTCTGCTACTAACACTCGATGATTAAAATAGGTGCTTCCGATAACAAAATTAAGATCTACCTCTCCATGGATGAGAGCGGAGCTTCCTGTAGCTGTACGTAGTCGCCATTGTGTTGTTTTAACCTTCTTCGATGTTTTAAGAATATCCGGTCTGATGATAGTTTTCGTCGCACCTGTATCCAACAGCATAGTCCGGAACTCTCCATCAACAAAACCATCCACAAAAATGCTGTTGAATTTGTGTTGTAGCGAGGCGACTTAAAGCAGTTTTCGTTGGGGCATGTTGGGTACAGGTCGACGTGTGCCCCTTCATTTCGACCCTTAGTAGTTTTCCGACCTCGACGAAGCCGGTTCTTCGTTCTTCTCCTTACAACAGCTTCGCACGTGTCCTACCTGTCCGCAGTTCCAGCAACGAATCGGTCCCTTCTTGCCCATGTACTGGTCCATTACTTTCCGAACAATCCCTTCCACGGATTCGTCGGAACATTCGTCGATGGCCCGTACTCTTCCTAAAGACCGAGAACTTTGTTTCGCGGCCTCGAATTCTAGGGCACGTGCTAAAGCATCGACCAAGTGCGTTGGGTGGGCTAGGAGAAGCGCTTGTCTTGTCTCGTTGTCACGTAAGCCGTCGGAGAATGCCTGTACTGCCAACCGCTCCATAACATTCTCGGGCGTAGCAGGGTACGCAAGGCGAACGAGACGGGCTACGTCGGCTTCAAACTCCTGCAGAGACTCATTTGCTTTTTGAATGCGATTTTTTAGCTGGGAATGATAGACATGTTCCAAATGAGCTTGGCCGTACCTCATTTCTAAATGTCGTACCAATCGCTGATAATCTCTCTGTTCCGATGGTGACAGTGTCTGCAGGATATCAGTCGCATCTCCTCGCAGTGCAACAGTCAAAGCGGTAGCTTTTTCAGCGATTGTCCATCCGTTCGCTCTCGCAGCGGCCTCAAACTGGCAAAAATAATTGGCCCAAGCGGTTTTTCCGTCAAACTGTGGAGGCTTAATAACTGACTTTGATATATACTTATTTTCGACGAGTGTCGGGCCCTCCGATGTTTCTTGACAGTTTGGTGAATTTGCCTTTGCTATTTGTTCTTTAAAAATTTCGATTTTTCTATTTACATCGTCCTCAATTTGTGTTATTTTGTCTTGTAGTTCTGTAGAATTTTCTATAATCTTTTCTTCTAATTCCCTGGAAGATTCCTGGATTTCTGTTAACTTTTCTTCTAAATTAAGTATTTTATTATTAAAGCTGGTCTGTATGTCTTTGGAATTTTCTGCAATCTTATCTTCTAAAATATTAATTTTATCTTCTAATTTTTGGGAATTTTCCATCATTTTATCACTGATTTTATCTTCTAAATTAACTTCCAAGTCAGTTATTTTACTATTCAAATTGTTCAAGTTGTCGTCTAATTTTTGTAAGGGCGAGTCAAGGTCACCTTCCAGCTCAAAGCAAAATGTGTCAGGCTCCTCACCTTCCTCAATCAAAACGTCTCTCAGTCTAGCTTGCAAAATGCTTTTCTTTCCATCTGTTTCGCATTCCCTCTCTTCCAGTACGCATTTTAATTCCGACACTTTCAAGTCTTTCAACAATTTTTTCGGAGCCATTGTCTGTCTTTTTATTTTCCTACTCTATCACACACCCCACACCTGACACCAATTGTTACGTTTTTCGTCGGTTCCGTGTGGATAGAAAGTCACAATTTATTTAAACACTATTTATTTAACACTAATTAACAAAAACAATAACGATAAAAGACTTATAGAACTATTTACAAACGATTTATAACTAAAAATTTATTTTGAATTTTAGCGCGTCAACTGCACTGCTATATTTATAACTGCCCTCTCTAGGCCACAGCCGCCGGCTTTTATACCTACAGTTAAAGTTTACTAGAATAGTCCATAGATCGTTTGGTGCATAGAGAAGGTTTTCGAATGTTCTCGTATGTACTACTCCATTTCAGTGGGACTCGATCCTTCTCGAATCTTCGAATGAAGCATTGCGGTGTCTATGCGATGTTAAGGTCATCCGAGAGAGGGCCATATTGTTAGGTTAGGTCGAGTCCACACCGGTCCGCAACAATATGTATATGCTGTACATTATTTATGTGTTGTATATATGTTTTATATGAGGGAATAAGTAAATTGATAAAAAAAACACAAAACACCTGAATACACAAAGAAAGGCAGTTGATGAAACGGAAATCTCAAATGGATACCCTCCTGGCAGATATGTGTGAGAGTAAGCATTTGGAGAGTTTTTAATATCTAGCCGATAGCAAAAATTCTTTAAATCGCTCTCAAATGGATACTCTCTTTAGAGTGACTATCGAATTCACTCGCACGAATTACTCTCAAATGGACACTTACCTTAGTATGAAAAATGGTGCACCGAAAAAAAAGTACACAACTATGGAAATGAAAATGTACTCAACATATTTTTCCAATTTAGTGCAAAATAAATGTTTTACAAAATATTTTTTTCTCTTTGGTAGTCATCTAAACAAGGAGTGCGGTGATGAAAATGCGTAAGTTAAGAAGCTCTTAACTCACTCAAAATTCGAGCTTCTTAACTCACTGACGTAGATAAAAGATTTTATTATTGTTAGATATAAATACGGCCTCTCTAAACTTTACGCTTTTTTTCAATGGGGTTCTTTGTAGACAACCCGGGCTTCTAACCATTTTATGTTGTGGTGCTTGAACCACACATAATCTGCAATTCCCGATTGCATTATTTCGCCTCTATGCATATGTTTTTTATATTCGTTATATAAATCGGGCACTGCAGACCACATTATAAAATGGACGGAAGCCCGGGTTGTCCACAAAGAACCCCATTGGAAAAAGCGTAAATTTAAAGAGTATTATTTATATCTAACAATAATAAAATCTTTAGCAATCCAATGGATATCTCAACAATATGGGAACCACTTATAAAACTCTAGTATATAAGCTCAGTAGTTTTAGTATAGTATTTAGACTAGTTCGCCACTTGATAACGGTCAGTAATACTTTTGACCGAAACGTTATGTAAGCAAAATAAATAAAGACAATGGAAGTCCGAAATTCTTTTACTTTCAATACTGAATCATTGTCTACCACATTCAAAATAAAATCAATAAATGTTTCACCTCTTGTATAACTGCTAAGTGATTATTTAGATGTCTATCTTGGACTATCTCTACAGCTGCTGGTAATGGCTGGATAGGTATTGTGACGTCTGGCTTAATAAAACTAACACGAAATGACAAAACACGTCTGTCTGGTCGTCCCTTTTTTTTAATATCGGGAAAAGCTATGCCTTCTGGTCTAACAAGAGCTATAAAATCTCTAGATGAATTTGTTTGAAATTTAACTTGAGGTAGATCAAATCTTGCAAATTTGGGAGAAATAAGTAGAGGGGGTAGTTCAGATGTTTCCTTCCTTCTGAAATTATAATAAATAACCAAAGTTACAGTTTGTGGAAAAAAATTATAATTAGGAATGATCAAAAATGCTATTGTGTAAAAAAATAATTCTTTGTTAACAATAACACCTTTTTCTACGACAATTTTTAATTCATTTGAAATTAATTAATTTTAAATAATAATGTTCTAACTTGGCTAAGTCAAAGTCTTGTGCACATCATCATATTAACAACTCAACTTAACTTAAAAAACTAAAAGACTTATCTTTTTGAAATCACTAGGCAATAATATATATTATGAAATTGGCGCTGGAAACTTTCATTTAAAGTTTCATTAGATCACAAAATCATATTCGCAACTATATGTTAATATTGGTTACCTGAAAATTCAAACTCGCAGATAAGTTAAGCGGCCCTCACACGATCAATAATATTGCCAATATTTTTTATTGTCAATGTTTTATCAATATTTGAAAGGTGTTTTATCAATATTTATTAAGTGTGAATTATACACTATATCAAAAAATAAAAGATAATAAAAGCGTGTATTGCCATCATTTTGGCATTTGTAAGTGAGAAAAAATCGAGAAAAAAATTTATAAAAAGGCGTTGGGTAAAAAAAAATAGATATCAAAAAGAAAAAGGTTTGGTCAACTAAATCTTCTAGAGTACGTTAATAAACAGGAGGCTGATGATTGCGATCCAAAACTGGTGAAAACAACGACGGCGATGTTCCGTCTTTCGCCATGGTTATCAATAAACTAGTCAAATCTTATCAATCATGCGACCTAATGATCAATATATTGTCAATACGACTAGCTCCGCCTTTAATATTGTCGAGTATTTTCAGGGTCCCGAAAATCCATCAATATATTGAAAGTACTTCAATATGTACGCTCAAACGCTCAATAATATTGTCAATAATCCAAAATATTGACATTATTGATCGTGTGAGGGCCGCTTTAAATCACGGTCGCGGTTTCCAAAATGACAGTCCCAACAAAATCGCAAATCACAGTTATAGTAGTATTGGTTGCGTAAAAATTGAAATTCACAGATAGAAGAAATCGGAGTCGCAGCTGACTATAAAAGGCAATCGATGCGATTGCGATTTTAGAATCGTTGCGATTGAATCGCAATTTGCCATTTTTTGCTCATCTCTAAGTGTTACACAGTGGAACTTCCTTAATTCGAATCTCCAAAGAAACGAAACTATAAACGAGAAAATTCGAATTGCAGAAAAATGTGCTAAATCCGGTGATTAGCCATAGTAAATTTTTGTTATTTTTAATATAAAATTCAATTGCAGTGATTAAAAAGTACTCCCTCAATACAAAAAGAAATGCAACGAAGTTATAATAAGGAATAAATAATAAATCAAATTCAATACAAATTTCACTGGTTTGAAGTGACGCGTAGAAAATTGTGACCTCACCTATCAGCATTTGACTGAATAGTTGAGAGAGGGCGCGAGCCTCTGAAGAATAATATTATGGCGTGTCTAGTTCTCTGCTACCGTATTTACACCATATATCTTAAAATCACGTTAGATTTTTCTATTTTTATTAAGATCGTTAAAAAATACGTTTTTATATGGGATTATTCTTTATTACCTAAATATTAAATTTACTTTTATATTTTTACTACTAGAAATTAAAATTAAAATTTTTATAATTAACAGGTTACTGCCATTTTTATTTTTTATCGAAGCACTAAACACTACCAAAGTTGTTCGGATGTTCGAGGCGTTCGAGGGTTCGAGTTTAGATTTGTATTTTGTAGATTTTGCGTTTGGCGTTAAATACTTTGAGTTTTCAATTTTTTATTATTGTACCCTCTTTCTTCTTCTTCTTTTTTCTCAAACTCTCCTTTTCAAGAGAGTTGCGTTGCCTAGATTGCCAGGACCATTCTGGCAAAGTACTTTTCTGCTTTTCTTTTTATTTATTATTTTTGTAATGAAGGGTGTTAAAGTTTGTTTTGGGAAGGGCTGTCTAAATAACTCTGAAGGCTCTCCAGAAAAAGTTTTTATAACTGTTCCTTTGGATGAAAGCCGTCAAAGAGCCTGGTTTGAAGCGGCAAGACAACAATATGTCAGCAAAAGTACGAGATTTTGCTGTGAAGATCATTTTAACGTAAGTTCTTTAAGTTTTATTTTCCAATTAATTTTATATCTATTTTAAAATACATTTAGAAAAATGGTTTTTATTTACCTTTGTACCTGGTGGCAAACCGTGAGACTTTTGATAGGTGACGTCAGAGATTGCAAAAGTGTAAATTTGAAATTCTTAATATTGATTAATTTTTTAAAAAAAATGGGATGAAATTAAAATAAAATAAAAAAATACGGGTGTTATAAAATTGTATGAAGATTAATAATTATTTGCAATAAAAAAAATATGGTTAAACTCCGGATTATTTTTTTATTAGAAAAAGTCGACTCCAAATACAATATAGAATACTTGATTTTAATTTTAGCTTCGCCTTTTAATCTTTTTTTAGCACACATAAAAAATCGTTGTCAAATCGCATCACCTTTACTGCAACTGACAAAAATCTCGTGATTTGCGAACTGTGCGTATATGTTGCAACCTGGCAACTTGTCATGCCGTCATGCGATAAATCCGATAGGACCCAAAATCCTGTGAGATATTCTTAAGGTGCGCTTAGAATTGAGCACGCACGAGCTGAGCGTACGCCAACAGCATTTCGACGCGTACGCGTAAGGTAACTTATTTTTCGACGAATGAAGTGATCCACTTGTGCGCGAACAACAGAGTTGTGTTGGTGAACGTAGGAACCCATGCACACACAACAAATTGCCGGTGCAAACTGAGCGTTCGCGAACACATAAAATCCCTTTGAGCACCGACACCAGACGATTCCCGCTCGCGGCTGCTCGCGTACAGACAGTTTACACTGTTTACACTTGAGCATTCGCGACGGATCAGTGCGTGCGTGCTCCAGTCTAAAGGCACCTTCAGGGGAAATTGGATATAGTCATGTTTCTAAATTTCAGTTTTAGTTACACTCTGAAAATACAAACTGTTATATACCTACAAAACAAAAATATTCAAATTGTAGAGATAAAGATATTCGAGTTATACAGGGTGTTTCCTAAGTAGTCTAACAAATTTAAGGGTGTGATTCCTCACGTTTCGAAGACAAAAAGTTTATACGCACATGGGGTCTAAAGTACTTCCTTTCTGATTTACAAGGTGTTAAAAACTCAAATAAAATCGACACTCTTGCTTAATGGTTACATTGGATGCGTGTCTTCTATATAAATCATTTACCCAATATTTTCTTCTTTTCATGAGTAGATTTTAACATTATATCCTCCACAGCATCAAAGTAGTGACTGTGGTAGTGGCGCTTGTTTTGACAAACTCAACACACAAGAAACCATGAACGCGCATCTAATGTAACCACTATAATAAAATAGTCGTGCGAGTAAATTCCGTCAGAGCTCGCTCGTATAAAAAACGCACGGACACGCGTCCAGTGTAACCGCGGGCTAAAGAAAATACTTTTTAACAAAATTGATCTCTTGAATCTTTCTTGTACATCAAACGGTTTCCGAGAAAAATAAATCAACTACATTGCATATCTCAAAATCACTAGAAAACGAGCATACATAAACGTCAAGGCAAGCTTTTAGTTGATTTTTTTTTTCTCAAAAACTGTTCGATGTACAAAAAAAAATCAAAAGATGAATTTTGTTTAAAGAGGAAGGACAATCAAGAAAAAAATATACATTATACAGAAAAAAAATCATACATACTCAAAAAATACCTTCATACGACATTTCATCTCATTTATTTTAATCAAATAATCCAGGGCTGTGTGCGTACAGACTCCACTCACTGGTTTAAATAGAGAAACAACAGATAATGGAAAGAAACTGCCTTTATACCTGGATACTACATACCAAAACTGAAGAAAATATCTAAATTAGTTTTCGAAAAATTCAATTTGAACGAAAATTATCTTAGTTTATTACTTGTATATTATTCTTGTAATAATATTAAATCTTTGTGAATTTTTTTTTACATAATCTGTATCGATGTATTATGAAGAAAACATTGTAGGTACATTCTAAAGCCGCGTCCAAGCTAAGCGAACAAAACGTTCGCGAACATATATAATTAACACTATATACATAGCAGCAGGTCGTAAACAACGGCACAGCCCAACATATTTGATCGTGTATTTTTTTTTCGTATCCTTTCATAGCCGCTGAAAAGATGCCCAAATCGTATTTTTAATGATAACTCAAATTTTATAAATGGTACGAGGCTGGTTCAGCATATTTAGAAAAAGCATTTTTTTGCGAATAATTTGGTACTACATACTTGGTATTTGGAGTAAAATTGTCGTTACGATTATTTATGGCCATTTTTTAATTCAAAATGTCAAAAGTTGACATATAATATATCGTTCTATTTAGAATGTCATTTTCTGTCATATACGGTAAAAAAATACCAAGGGTACCATTTAAATCAAAAGTTGTTGTCATTTCCGGTAAAATAGGTGACCGAAAATAATGGAAAAGGTCGATCAATCCTAATTTGTGTCCTATACTAACATACCAAATCTCGTTTTTTATCTAAAAAATTAAAAAAGTTATAGAAGTGAACCACTTTTCAGAAACACCCGGTATATTTATTTCTAAAAATGTAATGATAAAATTTCATTTCCGGTGTCAAACTTCCTATTAAGTAGTAATTTTTAATTTTAAGTTCTATATTAACAAAAATGAAATTATATGGACGAAGTCTAGCTACATAGCTATTCACACTCACAATAAAATTAAAATTATAAAATATTTTCTTTGCGTGTAAACAAATTAGTTGTAATGTTTTTTACGATCCTAGTCAATAACTGCGTCTCCCATTGTCGAATACTCGGTAAAAAATAAAAATCACAGATAGACGCCCGAAATTAAATGAGACCCTTCCAAGCCGTTCACTTCTTTTGATGTACCGACTACCGACACCCGTCGGAAAAAGAACGCGCGCGCTCTAGCATGCAGGCAGACGCACGCTCTGGTGTACAAGTTAGCCGTTCGGCGCTCCGCGCTCCTAATAAGCCTAGGCTAGCTGTACTTGTTAGCTTTATTATTTATAAATCTACCTATCTCACAATTTTCACTTTATATCTCGTTAATTATATATGTTCGCGAACGTTTTCTTCGCCTAGCTTGGACGCGGCTTAAGATAATACACGTGGTAGGGATACAGGGGTACTGTTCATCCTCAAAAAAAAAAAAAAAATAAATAAATATTACAAGATTTTTTTTTAAATTTTTAGTAGCCCTGTAGATCAGAAAAGAAGTAATAGACCCCATATTAATATAAACTTTTTTTCTTAAAAACATGAGGAATAATCACACTAAATTATTTTAGACTAGTTAGGAAACACCCTGTATGTATAAAAACACCTATTCAGATTGTGAAAATTAATCTAATACTTGCATTATTCGGCTTAGAGATATTTCAACTTAAGGAAGTTCGAGATAGAGAGTAGTGACGTCTCACGTTAACAGTATACACACATATCGTCGGCGTGGAGGTGAATAGGCCTAACCCACATATTCTGTGAAATTACAATTTTAATATTTGTCGTTAAAGGAAAATCTTGCTTAATTTGACAATAAAATTGACAACAGCGGTGTTTTCCGTGAAATATGTGGATTAGAACTTTTCACTTCTGAAAGTTAAAGCACAAGAATATTTAATTTATGTAGTGGTGAATAGAAGTGAGTCATTTAGCCCTTTTTACCATAACGGGATGTGGCATGATACTGTTAGCAAATGTCAAATTACTCATTAACAGTTTGTATTTTCAGTTTGATCTATTCACCATAATAAAATATGATGTTTTGTAGTTTCATTAATGAAGTAACCAATTTTTTGAAAATTTGTTACTCGTTAACAGTTTGTATTTTCAGTTTGATCTATTCACCATAATAAAATATGATGTTTTGTAGTTTCATTAATGAAGTAACCAATTTTTTGAAAATTTGTGGCCTAGACTTATTCACTTCCAAGCAGACAATATATCGGCATCGAATTGAAATCGGTTCAACTAACACAGTTAAAAAAATTCTGATTTTATCTTCATATATGATATATTATTACATTTTTAATTATTATTTTTAAGTAAACAAATAAAAATTTGTCTTAAAATATAATAATCTATGTAATAAAGTAATGATCTTGATTATACTCATCGCTAACATCATTTATTTATTGTAATGTAAATATACTAACGTCAACCATTCCAATGTAGGAATATGATTAGGTATTATTTTATCATGTAAATATTCTACTTCAGAATGCTCATTTTCTGGTGTCTCTTTTGCAACTAAAGGTAGGTATTGAAAATCAGACATTCCTAAAATGAAACCGTATTTTATAAAACTGCATTACATTTCTATAAAATACTCACTATTGAATTTAAAACTAACATTAGCAACATTCACAATTTCATATGAGTAATCACTGCAATCATTTGGTTTAGTAATTTTTATTAAAATACCCATGTTGAATATTTTATCTGCTACACACCCTTTACTATATTTGCTATTAGGGTGAAAATTAAGTTCAAGTTTGCTTTTGCCTTCCACAGACTTAAAAAGAAATAGTTTCATTAAAAATATAAAAGGAATAAAACAAAACTAACTCTTTGAATATCTTGTATTCCTCCCAAGGTTTTAATTGCTTTAGAAACATTTTTTACATGACCGGGGTATTCTATCCTAACAAGTGGATTAGGAAATGAAAATAAATAACTTTTATCCAAATCGTTGTCTAAAAAACCTTTATGACTACTAAAAAAAGTTATTTTGTTTTTAGGAATTATCTTGTTTTTTTCGGATTTTATCCTGTCGTTATCTACATTATCTGCCATTTTAGCTAAATAAATACTTAAAACTTTAATTTAATATAGTGAACTTTGTTTATTACATTCACAAATTAGAATAAAAAAATAGAAAAAATAAATAGGGTTACGTGTAACAAATTCTTCGTTCTTAGATCATTTTCAAAGCCCGAGCTGCCAGAACTATATGGCCTGTATAATGCCCACTCTCTCTTGATTCTTATTAGTGGCTGACATTGATTGTCGCCGTTCGGCTATCTTCGTCATCGCCCTTTTAGAAATTCTTGTGCAATGTTGTCAATCTTTATATTAAGTCGTATTTTTATTTATAATTAAAATAATAATTATAAATTGCGCCTTTTAGTAGATATTATTAATGTGATTAAACAAGTTATTGCCGTTATGGCATATATGCCGTGATATAAATGTAAAATATTTTTAACACTAGTTAATAACAATATGTAGAAATTCAACATAAATCTTGCGAGAAGTGAATTAGGTTATTTTTCTTACTTTCGAAATGTTTGCAAATGAACTTTACATTTCCCGTTCGAAATCGCGCGTCATAACCACTTTAGACACACATTAGACTATTTCAAAAATATATAAAAAATATTATGGGGTAACAGAAGAAACAACAGCATAATGTACCTAGGTATAAAAAGTTTTAATAAAACATTAATGGATGTTTAATTAGCTTTTAATGTATATACAAGGCTTATAGTAACGTAAAGAATATATACAGGGTTGTTCACCACATACGACACGGAGTATTGTAGCTAAACGATTAGATTTTTACAAATTGTAAGTTCTGGGTTCGTTGAAGGATTATTAGAGCTACAATTTTAAAATATTTTTACAAGATACAGAGTGTCCCAAATAAATAAAAAATATCAAAGTTGTATTTTTTTAAATGGAACACCCTGTATATTATTACATTTTTAGTTTCTACGATTAAAATAAAGGTAAATTTGATAAAGGTTTATTACACTTAAACCATACCGTTTTTGAAATATTTTCAATTTTGTGAAATTGCAGTCAAAATTTTAAGGCTTCATTTCTCCAAGGGTATCAAAGTTTTTAATACTAAATATTTACTGAAGTTTATTTATTGATCAGTTATTGTGTTGCAATAATAAATATTATACTACCCTATACAGAGTGTCTAAAATTTTATTTTAAATAATTACTAGCTTTAAACGGCAATAACTTGTTTAATTTAAATGGAATACCCTGTATATTTTATGATAATCAGATGCACAATTTAATTGTCTATCAAATTGTATTATACCATTTTTTACCTATAACTTCAAGTTTCCGTAGAAAATGCATTTTCTTGTAATTTTAATTCATTTATCAATATACCCATGGAATACTGACATTTTAGATTATTTTTAAAGAGTACAGATACTAATATTGTCGATATAGTTTGTTTATTTCATTAAAAAATAAAAAAAAACTGTTTAAATATTTGTTAAAGAGGACCAATTAATATGATTCCAGTATTCAAACTACATTAATTGACTGTTTACGTTGATTAATAATAATTGCTCCAAAAAATAAAAACTGAATTTTTATGTGTATTAGACAGTGTGGTAAAAAGTAACACCTTAACAATGATATTTCATTTTTTGACAAATGCTTATTTGTAACAACACAGACATTTATTTTTATAACTTATTATTATATTGATTTCTGATTCAAATCCACATTTATTTAGAATAATTTATTCACGAACATAATTAAGTATGTAATTAATTAGTATTTGGGCGGAAATAATGGTGGTATATTTAATTAATGGTATACTCTTTTATGAAGATTTTGAATAGTTTTCTTTTTACATACAAATGGGCTAGTAATTTTGATAAAACGATAATATTACTAGCCTGTACATTTTGTACATTTGTTGCTTTAAAAACAATCTAAAATGTCAATATTCCATGGGTATATTGATAAATGAGGTCTAAATTATAAGAAAATGCATTTTTTACGAAAACTTGAAGGGATAGGTAAAAAGTGGTATAATACAATTTGATAGACAATTAAATTATGCATCTCATTCTTCTAAAATATACAGGGCGTTCTATTTAAATTAAACAAGTTATTGCCGTTTAAAGCTAGTAATTATTTAAAATAAAATTTTATACACTCTGTATAAGGTAGTATAATTTTTATTATTGCAACACAATAACTGATCAATAAATAAACTTCAGTAAATATTTAGTATTAAAAACTTTGATACCCTTGGAGAAATGAAGCCTTAAAATTTTTACTGCAATTTCACAAAATTGAAAATATTTAAAAAACGGTAAAGTTTAAGTGTGATAAACCTTAATAAAATTTACCTTTATTTCAATCGTAGAATCTAAAAATAGAATAATATACAGGGTGTTCCATTTAAAAAAATACAACTATAGCATTTTTTACTTATTTGGGACACTCTGTATCTTGTAAAATTATTTCTAAATTGTAGCTCTAATAGTCCTTCAACGAACCCAAAACTTCAAATTTGTAAAAATCTAATCGTTTAGCTACAATACTCCGTGCCGTATGTGAACAACCCTGTATAATTTTTCATTTATTGTAATTGTATTTACTAGCAATAATTAAATATCTGATTCTTTCATTGTGCGCGTTCAGGGATGGCCGGCGGCTGGGTGGTTGAGTAAGTAACTTTCCTGAACAGTCTATTTTTACATGCAACAAAGGTCAGCCGCTGAGCAAAATTCTCAGTGGTCAGTAAGCTGCTGTGTCCCCTGGACGCGTACATTGTATATATTATATTATACTTATTCGTAAATGCCTATGTAATTATTAACCAAGTGTTGAATAAATAAATATAACTATTATTAAGTCCCTTCTTCATCATCAAAAGACAGTAAGCTGTAATTTCTATGTTTTTTATTCTTTTTTTCTGTACTTTCATCTTTCCTTTTAGTACATTTTCTGTCCCTAGAACTATCCGAAGTACCTTCAGATGCTGTAGAGGTTTTCTTGGTAGGTTTTTTAAAAACTATGGGAACATTTAAATCTGCCGGCGTTGTTTGCTCTTCTCTTTCTAACCTAAGTTTTTCTTGAGCAACTTCTTCAGCATTTAAATCCCCCGAATTTAGCACTACTACTTGGGGCTGTTCTTCCTCGGTGTCCTGCAAATCATCTTCATCGACATGACCAATATCCTCCCGTTTAGTATCAACAGTCAGTCCTTCTTTATATCCAATTTGTTCTTTTAGTTGTCTTATAAAAGTAGGCTCGGTAGGTTTAACGTAAGCAATATTGTGCCTCTTTGACATACCTAACTGACAAAATAAAAATATCAACTATTTTTCGTAAGCCTGGAGTAGGCTTTACAGATGGGAGCATAGGATAGGAGGCTCTAAAATATCATCAGAGTATCACTATCACATATCACACATATCACGTATTATAGATATTGGTAGGTATACCACTCTTTCTTTAAGGTTGTGTCCTTTATGTTGGGCGATAGTCGGTTAATGGGCTGCGATGGTTTGGTAAGATTTGCAGTATTTGATATCCTAAAATCTGCGTTCCTCTTCTATTTCAGCTTGATCTTGATAACTATTTATCATAGAAAAACTAATAACTAAATAATTTAAAATCTGTCGGATATCTCTTCTTCTTCTTTTTTTTTATGATGGCTCTGCTACAAGGCAACCGCCAGCTCAATTTGAGAGTGACCAAGATGTTGACTGGCTCTAAACCATATCAAGGCCACTGATTCTTATCTGAGTAAAATGTATAATGGGTAAATCAGGGCCATGTAAGTGAAATATTAAAAATGGTTCCAGCAAAAGTTTCCCAATTATGACGGATGATGGCGCTGATCGTCAAATTTTTGGACAGGGATTTTGCTTACCGACAATACGACGTGAGCTACGACCGGACCAGGACCAATCAGAATGATCAGTTTGTGGATCAGTCCAGGGCCATGTAAGTGAAATATTAAAAATGGTTCCAGCAAAAGTTTCCCAATTATGACGGATGATGGCGCTGATCGTCAAATTTTTGGACAGGGATTTTGCTTACCGACAATACGACGTGAGCTACGACCGGACCAGGACCAATCAGAATGATCAGTTTGTGGATCAGTCCAGGGCCATGTAAGTGAAATATTAAAAATGGTTCCAGCAAAAGTTTCCCAATTATGACGGATGATGGCGCTGATCGTCAAATTTTTGGACAGGGATTTTGCTTACCGACAATACGACGTGAGCTACGACCGGACCAGGACCAATCAGAATGATCAGTCTTTCTTGGACATTTGCCGCGGACGTGTGTGTTAATTTCTGTTGTGATAAGTATGGTTGTGTTTGCAGTTTGATTTTTCGGTTTTGATATTATGTTAAAATTAATTTTGAAGTATTGTATCACCTGTTTTTATGTAATAGTACTTTGTTAATGTTTGTTTAACAATGTTTTACCAAAGAGGTTATACTTAATATACTTATCAATTTGCATAGCCTAACTTTTTATCAATAAACTTTGTAAATTTTCAGATTATTTAATTCCTTTTGTTTCCGTTTATAATTTTATTTTTAAGACATATTATGTGATTGTTTCACATAATATGTTTTAAAAATAAAATTGCAAATAGCAAATAAAAATAATTAAAATAAAAAAGTGTATTTTACAATTCCCCCCGGCCCCGCACCCCTTTGGCTAACCTATAATGTCAGCTATGTCGAGAGATGGCGTTACGAAAATGGAACCGATTTATTACAAGGAACTTGGGCTTCTTTTTCGTTAGTATATTCTGTGGGGTAAATTTTAATATAACTAACTTCTATGAAGGTAACCTGTGACCTGTGACTGTAAAATGTTATTATTATTATTTATTAAATATATAAATGACGTGCTGAAAGGAAGATTATATCACACACAAAGGCACATAGGATAGAGGTCACACAAACAGACTGCATTCGGAAACTGAAACAAAAAGAAAATAAAAAATAGAAAGTTGAGCATTATAATTTAATTCTATTAATGTTAAAAAATATCATAATAGTTTCTATTAATTTTTCACTTGGCTTAGACAAAACTGTAAATATTGATAGTGGAGTAGGAAAATTCATTTCAATAAATTTTTGATATAAATCCAAATTAAACAAAAAATTTATAGGACATTCTAAAAAGATCTGATTTAGGTCTTCAACAGAGCCACACTCACAGAATGGATCTTCCTTCACTTTAATTTTATATAAATGGTTTTTTTTTTAAGCAATGGCCTGTACGCATTCTAATTAACGTTGTAATATGTCTTCTATCTATATACTGGAAATTTTTAAACCATTGTTTATCTGGGAAGATTGTTTGTGTATTAAAATACACATGCTTTTTTCCCTTTCATACGAGATTTCCAATTTTCCTTATAATTACACAAAATATCAGTTTTAATTGAATTAAAAATATCTATTGAATCCATCTCCATAGATTTCGGAATATTTAAATCTTTTCCAATATTAGCCAACAAATCTGCCTCTGTATTTCCCAAGATATTGGAATGACCTGAATCCAGGCAATCCTGATGTCAAAACCATTAGAATTTGCTAAACAAATTAAACGTTTGGTTCTTAAGGTCCAATAATCAGCAGATGCTTTAAAGAGATTTTTACTAATTTTTTGAATTGAACTTTTGGAATCAGAAAAGATAATAACACTACGCAAGTTCTTTTTAATAGCAAACTTTACTGCAACATGAATAGCTATGGTTTCTGCCTTACAAATACTTAAAGAATCAGGTAGTCGCGAAGAAAATTTAAAATTTATATATGGAATATATATTCCAAATCCTGTTCTTTTATCTTTTTTAGATGCATCTCTAAAAATAAAAATATGAGAATTTTTAGGTGCTTGTCAGATATAACACCCTCCGAATTTTGTACTTTTTTTAATATCACTCGAAAGCATACATCGAAATAAGTATTTCAAGCCAAAAAAATGGGTGGATGATCCATAATTTAATGAAAAAATTAACATATAATTATTGCTACAACAGGCTACTTTCTATGCGAAAACTCCTCCAAATTTTGTCGGCGTTGCCAGATTCATTCATTTCTTCTTGAAAGCACAAAATAGAAATCAACTATTGATTTCTATTTTGTGTTGAAAGGTTCATTAAAAAAAACACGTGTGCTGGTCGGAAGAAAACTGGCGTTAAGAACAGATTATAAATTATTTTAAAATCAAGAAAAGGCGATCGCCTGAGGAACTGCTCCTACCCATAGCTGATATTTTGCCTACGATATCTGACTATTGATAACTACAAAGTTGCACGAAAGAGTTTTGATTGCGTTGGTTTCAACTTCTTTGGGGGTTAATCTGTTGTTTTTTATATATTTTAATACGAATCTGAGTGCTTTCAATGTCTCGATTTTAAAATAACTTATAATCTGTTCTTCTCGTGACAGCGCTACTGTATAAAGAGGCGACCGGTACGTAAAATCAAGCGAAAGCAATCAGATTCGTATTAAAATAAAAAACAAAACAAAAGATTTACACCCTCACGAAAAGGTTGAAACCAACGCAATCAAAACTTTTTCGGTTTCAACTCTTTTTTTGTATCATGTAACGTACCATATGATCGAAAAAAAAAACGGCGTCAGCCATGGCTATGAAATGAACATCGCTGTCATTTTATATGTAAAATTATATGAGGAATGTCATCGATCGTCATTTCAAAGCCAACTGGACGCCGTTTTTTTTCGATCATACAGTATTAGGTATCATACAAACAAGAAATGACTTTGGCAACAATGCTTACGCAGCTTACATCCGTAACAACAAATGGTGACAGACGGCTCCGGCGGCAAGTTTGAATCGAAAGAGTAAATCGATCAGGCAAATTTACAAAAGATATCACCAACTCTATTTTTGATTTATGACTTACTAATGCTTCTCAATGATTAATTCTGACCTTTATATTAATAAAAAAATGTATAATATATATATAATCGTCATATTTTACAATAATTACACGCTTATACAACTTCACCATAACGTAAAAATTCACTTTTAATTTATTTATTTTTCAATAAATTGTGGTTCATCCGCAATTTTTTTTTGCTTAACATTCTTATTTAAGTGTATGCTTTCGACTGATATATAAATAAATGCTAAATTCGAAGGGTGTTATATCTGACAAGCACCGAATTTTTAAAACGTTCAGATACTGACAAAAATTGTTCCTTAATAGAAAAATCATGTTTATTAATTTGACAATCAACTAATTTAATAGAATCATTCAAAATATTAAAACTAACTTCATAACACGGAAAATTGTCGGATATCTGTTTCGACCACAGTTTCGATAATGAGGTTATTGTTTCGATAGACAATAGACAGACGACAAAGCACTCAAAGCAACTTGCATCAGTGCCTTCTATTAAAAGATCTTTTAATAGAAGGCACTGCTTGCATCTATATCTAAACGTGACTCCGCATACCACGCAAGCGCCAATATATTCTCGCGCGAGTTATGAATTAAAGTTTTGTTATGTAGTGGGCATTATTTTACTTGTGAATCATAGTTTTTGTGTTTTGTGGCTGAAATACAATATGTATGTACATTTTGATGTGAATTAAAATTCTCTATTAAATAAGACACATAATAGGTAATTATTTCATCAACACAATTATTATATTCACGTTAATATTAAGGAACATTGGATATAATACATAAAAATCAAAATATGTCATTTGTAAATACACTGATCAACAATTGATAAGGATCACGAACTTATATCGCGATATATTTTTAGTTCCATTTTTTTAAATGTGTAACTTTTGATTTTTTTAGAAATAATCGGGTTCAAAACTAGTCCAGGAAAAAAAACGAATTTATTTAAAAAAAATGTATGAAAAATCAAAATGTTCACCTATTTCCAGTTAAATCAAATTTTAATTTTTTTTAATGAATAATTTGTAGCATATGAAATTCATTGATATGTCTTTGTGCCGCATTTCCAAGTGACATTCATCACACATTTCACTTTATTACACGTGCTTGAATAATAGTTTTAAACGTTTTTAAGTTAAGCCTGAACCCTGAATTGACCGAAAACCCGAAAAAATCCTAATGTTGATCCTCATCAGCTATTGTTGAGCAATGTAGTTATGACTTTTAGTATCACAATTAAAACATAACAAATAAAGAATAAAATAATAAAATATATATATTTTTGTCTAATAGACTAAGAAAATGATATAAAACTCTATTTTTTAATAATATTATGTTTAAACAAAAACGAAGGGCATACATACATCATTATAGTATACATATATTATGTTTCAAGTTCCTTTGAATTCCTTAAAGCCTTCCGGTCCAATAAATGATTGGAAATAATTTCGTGTTCATTGGGTTGATTGTTATTATTTTCGTTCATTAAACTATAATAAGAAGGCGCCAAGACGAAATCGTAAAACGACGTGCGGTATAGCGCTTGCGTAGTATCATGCCCTAGACACCATAGATAAATGAAACAAGTTTAGATTGGAAAGTGCCCATAAGGACAATGTAAACACTATTTGGCGCTATTCTTGCAACGGTCGCGACCCAAAACTTTTGAAAATTTCGGAGCGGTTCGGCTTTTTCCGGAATTATATCGCCAAATATTGTTTATTCAAATTTATTATTATTTTCGTTTAATTTTATAAATAAAATACAGTGTGTTGCATACAAGAAACTTTATTTTATATAAGGACGCATGTATGAAATACCTATGAAACATTGGAAACCGACGTTATGCC